TCAGGAATTTCAAAAATGGACACGCCTCCCCCGATTTCGAAACACTTGCTCTGTCTAGTTGGCTCCGCATTAGGCCAGGCTTACTTTTATGTCAATATTTTATTAATAACATAGTTTATTAGCGTTATACTAACTTCAACTGCACTTCCAACACTCGTTGACTTTGAGAAAAATAATATCTCCTAGCTACATCGTTTGGTAGTCCGCGAGCACGAGCGTTGGCAGGAGAGAACACTCGATGTGAATGGTTGTCGAATTTACTGATGGCTTGTCGTAATAGATATGATTCGTGCAAATCGCATTCACTTATTCCAACGCCGTAAAGGCAATTTTGTTATGCTAATTCTTATGGTGTAAGCATTGCGGAAAAACACACTCTATGTGCTTTAAAACGGAGTCAAATCGTCAATAAATGAACGCACCGAATGCACACCACTGATTGGCTCCCACAGTCGCGACGCAATGTGTCGGTATGGATCAGCCGTGGAGACTTGACCAGCGCGCTTCATGCGTTTTGTAGGATAGGTTCGACGCGCGCTATGCGCTGGGATGGTGTCGAGGGCATTAAAGGTCTTCTTGAGGTTGATGGCGGAGTGGCCGTGCCCGAGGTAATGCGTGGCGTAACATGCTTATCTGTGCTAACCTTTGTTAATTAGCTTTACAGTCTTAACGGTGCGACAACCGCGTTCGTTACAGTCTTAACGGTGCGACAACCGCGTTCGTTACAGTCTTAACGGTGCGACAACCGCGTTCGTTAATCGCGTTCAACCACGCGTTCGTTAATCGCGCTTTCGTGGTCATGGGTTTATAGGACTTTCCAGCTCTGCTCATGATGTTCGCCATTATACATGTCTAGAAATCCGATTTGACCTCGTATGATGGTTTTCCTGTTGTAATATTTCCTCCAGGAAAGGGCGGTTTCGTTCAATACGACTACGTTGCCTGCCCCGGCCACTTTCAAACCATTCCTTGTTACCAGTTCATTCTTTGACTGCGCATCTCGGAAGAACTGTACCCAATCGAATAGGGTCTTGTTTGCAGCGACTGGCCACATTCCTTTCTTCGCAAACATGGGTGATGTGAATTTGCCCAAGCCCTTTAAGGTTCAATGGCTGGCTCTTTAATGGAGTATTTCACATTTGCTTGGGTTTTTTAGCTGACATAGTCATCTTAAGCATTGCTCAGTGCAGTTCACAGCCTTGCCCTTCATAAGACCCGAACCCCTTTATCTCCTTAGCTATACGCTCGCGGAGACAGACTACTTTGCGCAGACTATTGCAAGGTCAATGAAGCATCCATGGCGCCATGATAACGTTATCCAGATCCTGTCATTTCATAAACCATGCGACGATCAAGGCCAAGAAAAATGTTAATCTCGAGTCGTTCATGTGAGGCGTTCTTTAGTACGATTTCCACACATAACGGCCATCAGTTGGCTCTCAATCAGTGCTATACAAGGCATGATGGCGTAGTCAAACAATGACATATTGAGCAGCATATTTACACTGCGGAACATTCTCTTTAAAAGTATGGTCTAGTTTGCAGCGATGCCCTTTATCCAGTCCTTATAGAGAGCGTAAGATAGAGCCAAAATTTAGCCACTAAGAATGAAGTAATTCGATACGCATGGCAGTTGTTGCCACTGTGGTACAACAGAATTCCCTCTGAGGATTTACTACAACTCCATTTTTGGATCGTCACATCAATTCCGCTCAGCTTATGTGGCAATATTCTGCTTTAGCTGAACGCATACGGGATGGGTAAGACTAATCAATTCGTTAAAAGGCGTTGCGAAGAGCTCGTCATGTATTTAGAAGCAGTGGAGCAGCAGAATCATATTCCGACACATTAACGCCAGGTTTCCGTTTTGAGCCACACGTGTCCACAAGGTATAAGCATCAAAAAAGCTGCGCTTGGTAGCCATTTCCGTGAAAGAGCTCGGGCATTCTTCGGTGCGTTCATTAAAGAAGCAGCCTTCCTGACGTTGCGAATGGTGCCCAGTTTCCGCACGGAAAGTGTATGACGTCTTGGAGATGACGTATGTGCTGCGCCGGTAGCAGCGGCAGCGGCGGCATGCATCGAAGGACCGAACGGCTGCATCCAGCCATTAGAGAAAGATTATGTTGCAGGTAGCTCCTTTCGGTCCGGACGAATCGACACAACGCGAGTTCTTCGGACAGTATTTGTTGGCGCAGGTTTCAGGCTCTGCAGGCAGACGGAGACCGGGGTTAATCGAGTGTGGTGTGACTCACGAGCTACAGGCGCACGTCAAAATCTCCGGCTTTGAGAGCTGGTCTCTTCCCAGACACATGGAACGATCTAATCTGGTCATGTGATTGCCAGGGTGTAATCTAGGCGACAACCCCACGAGAAAGTGTCGCCTATATTAAACATCACACAGCGGCTGCCGAGCCCACGTCTCAAGAGTGCCCATCCCTCGTCTCCTTGCGCAATGTATCGCCGTGCCAAAAGCATCGCACTCGGTAGCGACAGCGCTCGCGCCAGCCTGCCATCAGCAGGGTGTGCACACTTACGAACTCCCCGCCGACAGAGAGCTCCGGAGGGTGTGTCGATGCAGTTGAGGCCTGGTCGACAAACGCGGATCTGGCACGTGTTGGGATGGCACCTGGCTCCCTTCTCGGTAACGTGGCAGTTGGTTCCTCGTGGGCAGGATATACTCTCGCAGTTTTCCACGTCTACGGAGGGTCAGTGCGTCTCGTCAAGCGGCGTCCGTCCTCGCAGCGGGGACGCAGTACGACGGGTCGTACAAGGCCTCCAGCCGCGTGATGACACCACACCCAGCACCCAGAACGCAAAATGAGCGCCCTATTTCTTGTCGGCGGTAAAATAGGCGACGAAAATCTGTCTGGCCAATATGATTGTCAAATCCTGCAGCGCATTGCTGGAGCGGCCATTCGCGCGGTGCCCGGGGTACCACCCGGGTTCCTGTGTCAATTGACATTGAAGAGTTCTGAAATATCGAGGAATCATTTCGCGACTTAACTGAACTTTTATATTACGGCACCACTCTAGCTGTGTTGAGATATATCCGGTGCGAGCACGCTCTGACATTGACCTGACGTACGTCCCCGGTCTAGCTCAGATGAGCTGATCACCACCTGACAATGATCTGGTGTGTGTCCCCGGCCCAGCTCAGGCGAGCTGATCACCACCTGGCAATGATCTGGTGTGTGTCCCCGGCCCAGCTCAGATGAGCTGATCACCACCTGACATTGGTCTGGAGTGTGTCCCCTGCCAACTCAGGTGAGCTGACCACCACCTGACATTGGTCTGGTGTGTGTCCCCGGCCCAGCTCAGATGAGCTGATCACCACCTGACATTGATCTGGTGTGTGTCCCCGGCCCAGCTCAGGTGAGCTGATCACCACCTGGCAATGATCTGGTGTGTGTCCCCGGCCCAGCTCAGGTGAGCTGATCACCACCTGACATTGGTCTGGTGTGTGTCTCCGGCCCAGCTCAGGTGAGCTGATCACCACCTGACAATTGGTTTGGTTATGTGTCCCCTGCCAGCTCAGGTGAGCTGATCACCACCTGGCAATGATCTGGGTGTGTCCCCTGGCCCAGCTCAGATGAGCTGATCACCACCGACATTGGTCTGGTGTGTGTCCCCGTCCCAGCTCAGGTGAGTCTGATCCTCAACGCATTTGTCTTCTGGTATGTGTCCCGGCCCAGGCTCAGGTGAGCTGATCACACCACCTGAGCAATTGATCTGTAGTGTGTCCCGGCCCAGTTCAGGTGAGCTGATCACCACCTGACATTAGTCTGGCGTATGTCCCCCGGTCCAGTTCAGGTGAGCTGATCACCACCTGACATTGATCTGGTATGTGTCCCGGCAGTTCAGGTTGAGCTGATCACCACCTGACATTGGTCTGGTATGTCCCGGCCCAGCTCAGGTGAGCTGATCACCACCTGACATTGGTCTGGTATGTGTCCTGGTCCAGTTCAGGTGAGCTGATCACCACCTGTTACGGTCATGGGACCGCTTACCGGGCACGCAGACCGGTCCGTCAGGAAGTTCGTTACACAGCTCTCCGGCGGCACACTTGATGTCAGCGCAGGTCTTGCGCACTGAGGATCGATCAGGAGTGATAATGTAGACGCACCAAAACGTTTACGAAGCATAGATATCGAGGAAACAGGTTCACATACGTTCGATCAGGCCTGATTCTGGTGAGACTGGCTTGATTATTCTTCAACGATTGAATTCTTTAGGATAGACAATTGTTGACAGACATGGGAAAATGCAAACAATACACCAAACTCAGAAGAAAAATATTTCTAGAATGCTCACAGTCCTGAGGAAGCAATGCAACGCAATAAGAACGGGACACATTGCTTATTGGCGCTGATCTTACCGGGCACACATCTAGGGCCGTTAGGACCGCGTTCGCATTTCTCGTCCTCCTTGCACGGCACGGGCTTGTTGGCGCACGTGACTGGTGAGACAACGATGCATCAGCGACAGGCATTAGGTCCCAACTATACAAACCAACCCATTGTACCCTCAGGGGTCTTGCGTGGGGTCTTTGGTTGCGATAGTGACAGATCATCATCTGCTCTATTTATGAGCAGAGACCCTGAAGGGCTCAGCAGGTAATGGCACTGTCATGGGAACACCAACACACTGAGCTGTGTCAAGGAAATGGGCTTTAGGGCGTGCTTACTGCACACCGGGCGATAGTCTGGGGAAAAGCAGAAACAAGGAGAAACGGCGACCAGGCGGTTTCATCACTCACTGCGAATGCAGACGGGACCGGACGGACGATCCTCGCAAATTTCGCTGGACTTGCAAGGCACCCTCTTGTTGGCGCACTTCTCATCTGAAAGTATACAAAAGTACAACTCCTGCGAATTGTGTTTAGAAGCATATCCACCCAGCACACATGTAGAATGGGGTCATACTCCATGCCGGTAATGCAACGTTGAATGAACTGGCATATCAGCAAAATTCAAATAGCCAAAAACTGAGCTGTAACTCACTGGGAATACAGACGGGGCCGGACGGACGACCCTCGCAGCGCTCGTCAGCCGTGCAAGGCACCTTCTTGTTGTAGCACTTCTCAACTGGAAACATGCGAATAATATAAATCCTGTGTTTTGAATACAGGCGTGTATCCACATGGTCAAAAGCTGGGATACGTTCATACCGAAGATGTAGCGTTGACTTAATTGGCATATCACAAGATTTGAACCAGCCAAAAACCAAGCCGTTACTTACTGGGAACACAGACGGGACCGGACGGACGATCCTCGCAGCGCTCGTCAGCCGTGCAGGGCACCCTCTTGTTGTAGCACTTCTCATCTGGAAGTAAGCCGTGCGTTTTGTATGCAGACGTGGATAAATGTTGTATACAGCTAGAACGTGCCCATTCTGATAATGCAGCGTTGAAGTGGTTCGAATATCAGCATGATTAAATCCGCCAAAATATAAGCTGTTGTTGGAAATACAGAAGGGGTCGGACGGGCAATCCCCTCAGGGCTCGTGAAGTGTGCAAGACACATTGTTATTGACGAGCTTCTGAACAGGAAACATTTGTATAACACAAGTGATGTGTTTTGCGTGCATGGCTGCACACTTATTGCACATAGCTAGAACGCAGCATGTCAATCATGTGATAAAGTAGTTGGCATATCACAACATTTCAATCAGCCAAGAACTAAGCAGTGACTCACCGGGAATGCAGATGGGGCCGAGAGGACCATTCTCGCAGCGCTCGTCAGCCGTGCAGGGCACCTTCTTGTTGTAGCACTTCTCATCTGGAAGTACCCAAATAATATAACTCGTGTGTGTTGTATATAGAAGTGCATCAGCGTCATGCACCGCTTTTATACGGCCGTGCAGAGAATGGGATATTTCAACAGTCATCACTGAGTGTCCTTGAAATAAGGAAAACTGAGCAATAAGTGTCAGAGACAATCTGAGCTTAGTGATGAGTAGAAGGAACACCAATGCTTGAAACTCTCATCTTCAGGCTTCAGGCCATTACGATCAATGCATCATTGGATACGGTCCGGGTTCTGACGCCATGACAACACAGATTCATGAAAAGGCGGGAAGCCGTACAAATGACCCGCATCCTATCTTGTTGATTATGAGCACTTGACTATGCGAACATCATATTGTTAATTTGGAGCCGTCAGCGCTAGAACCGGGTTTCAGCTCCTGCAGTTTCTAGCAGCTGATCATATATCGTATGTCAGGAACAGTATATCAGCACTGCGGCGATAACAGTCCTGGTCTGTCCGACGACCTCAGCCGGCCAGCAGGTTTCTTACGTCTCGAGGCGAAGGATTTTATGACACCGCCGAACATATGAGCTGGATGGTGGATAAGGGGGTAGATGATTGCGGTTCTGTGCCAAAGGTTGGCCGTCACGCGGCGTGGACTGCCGCCAGCTGGATAATCCGCCCGTGACTGGACTGCGGGCGGCACGGGCTGGTGCAGCGTGAAGACCGCACCAACGTCTGCCACCAGCTGGACACTCGCCCGTGACTGGACCGCGGACGGCACGGGCTGGTGCAGCGTGGAGACTGCACCAACGTCTGCCACCAGCTGGAGACTCGCCCGTGACTGGACCGCGGACGGCACGGGCTGGTGCAGCGTGGAGACCGCACCAACGTCTGCCGCGTCCTCCCGCCGGCCCAGCAAACCGCCCGAGATGCACTTCTTCCCCGGCCGCGGCAGGCATGGTTCGGCTCTTTCTGGACAAGGACATTGTGTCTGGATTGTCCGGGAATAGCTGGTAAGCGATGGTGCTGAGCTAATATGCGTTCTTGGTGGCTGGACCGGTCGAGATTGTTCTCAAAGACTGTACCGAGAAGGGCAGATTAGAGGTGCACACTTGACACCACCACCGTTTGTTTAACGCTGATAACGTCAGAATATTTCATGAACCTATCAGTCTCTTATTCCTATAAGATTTAGTCGATTTAATCTCTGCAGCGCTACAGACAGCCGAGGACCACCCAAGACTGAACCTCGCCACACTCTCTCCTTATAGAAGGACGTACCTGCATCGTCATGTTGTTGGCGGCCTAATCTTCTCCCGATCATTTACGCCACGTGCCCGATTACTGCCCATCACCGATCAGTCACAGTCCCTGGTTGCTATTATGGCAAGGCCCGCCACCATCTGCTCACATCTCCCATGATATTCCATCTCCAGGCTTGACCCTCTAGGGCTCACAGCTGGTGGTCATCTCGGCTAGCCGCCCCTGGCGGGTGCGACCAACGCCGCGCTGGGCAACCTGCCGTCGGCCACTCTGGCGGCCATGCTGGCAGTCAGACAGCCATTGCATCGCCGACTGGCATGCTTCATCGGCCCGTTTTACGCGGAGGCATTAGTCTACATTTTCAGCTTTCATCGGCAGGTGGTCTGCACGGAACTGAGCATTACAGCGCTGTGGTAGTACTGGGTTGAGGTGACCTGGCAGATACCTTGCGTTCCAGACTCGACATCTCTGCAG